CGCTATATAGCAATGATATTTTTCTTATATTATTATATTATTAATTGCAAACGCTCTTTCAAATTTCTAACAGTTTGCGAATGTTAATATGTCGTACGTCATAATTCCTTTGCTTCTTCGACGTGTGTACGTAGGATGCACACGCATGTAGAAAGCTTGAGTTCATCGCAACCAATTCTCAGTAAATTTCTTGTTTATTGTAGTGAAATTACTGGCTCGGTCAACTTGCCATGGTGTGATGTTACATGTTTCAACCTGTGTCATCAATTGGTTGATGGTTCATTTCCCCAATGTGAGCATACGCGATTGCGTAAAGCATTCATGAGTACAATACAAATATATGTATATAGCTATTTGATTTGTATCAGAAGAGCGAGTGGATTTAGGTACATGTTGCATGAGAAAGTCAACTTTATTTTATCATCAAGAATAAATACCACACATCTCTATTTCTTCCTTCCCAATTTAAATAAGTTCAAATTAATAAAACTTCTTCACGCGCAATTTTTAAGCAAGTGTTAAAATTGTCAGGATGGATTCTAACTAATCCTACTACTATAAACCTGACCTGACAACTTATCATTTGTATATTTTCTAAAAATATCGGTCTAATTAAATTATTATAATTTATAAGATAAATGTTTCGTGCTTTGTGTAAAACATTGTATGGAATGGTTAAGATCACGACAGAGGATTTAAAATTGCTCGAAATTATCTCAGCTGGCAAAGGATCGGCAGTTTTTGCCGGGCGCCTTTGCGTAACTCGAGCATCGAAGATCGGCCCGTATGCATCAATTTAGTATCACGTCGGTTTAAGCTCACGCTGGCCTCGCTCCCGAGCCATCGAGCGTTTTCGAACGTTATCGGAACGTCGCAAAATATAGCGGCCATTCAAAAGGACACTCGAAGATATCGGCGGTATGAAACGCGGTGGTGCACAGTCCGCGGCGAATAAAACGCGATCCCGTGAAAGCAAACAAAAACAACGGGGCGCGCGTCGCGTCGGTGCGCGGGCACGCGTGAAATAATAAATTCGACCCAATTGTTTTCCCGTATCAATAAATATACTATCTGCGGATACGGCGCTTTTTTTCGCCCCGTTTGCGCCCGATGCAGTCGGGGCAAAGCGCGAAATGAATTGCGCACCGGACCCGGTGATATCTCTGTGACCTGTGACGGCGCGGGCGTACCGATGCTGGCGTGGAATTGCTTTTTGCTCGATGGCCGATGCCCGCTTAATTCTTTGGAAGAATTCGTTGCCGTACGGTTGCCCTCTGGTATTTGACTGCCCTGCCGTGATTCTGTCGTCAGAGAACATCCTCATTTCGACCTTCCCTTTGTTAGACCGCACAAACATTATTGCGAAAATACTTTGCACCGCAGACGTCGCCTGACTACAATCTTGCGCATTGCCAATCTTGTCGCTTGAAATGTTTACTGAATGTTTTAAAATATGAAATAAATCTAACGAATGTATTTAATGGCGAATTGAAATGCGTATCGAAATACGTTATCGTTAAAAACGACGGGTAATTATTCTGATTTGCATAATTGTGAAAAAAATTGTTAAAAACGATGAAAAATTATTCTGATTTGTGTAATCATAAAAAAAACAACCACCGATGTAATTTGGTTAGTTAATGATCGTTTAATTATAGAATTTATTTATCGTGATTGGAAAGAATTATCGATCGATTATCGTAAAGAGGAGCTTTGTATTCCTGATGTACCTACTTCTCGGATTTGCAGTGTTATGCAATCGCAGCTCCCGGTCCACCCTCGTCGTCTCGTTAGCACACGAAAGCGCCATTCGCGCCGGTAGCTTTTTCGCATCTGCGGAAACTTCGTCCTGGAACCTCTTTGCCTTCCGAACACGTCTTTCGTAACTCACCAGGGGGACGCGACGTCGGTCTCTGAGAGAGGACTATTCACGAAGGTAGCCTCTTTCGTGACCGGGAAAGAACTTAGTCCGCGTAAGCCGTGGGAAACCATTCCCGGCCAGCCGTCTTTCCGGTGTACAAACTGCATGTGCGCCAGCCATATTCGGCTCTATTCCGTTTCGAAAGCAACTCGATAACAAAATTCTTCGCATTGTTGCCGCGAAAAATGTATCGCGTCGATGGTCGCTCCAGCCCGATGCCGTAAAGATTATTTTCGCGAAGAGCGTGCAGGTCGATTATCGCGAAATGCTGGCGATATCTCGTTGTAATAAACGTTGTTCTATACCCTGTGCCCTATTGAAAAGGTCGGTTCGGTGTGCACGCGCGAATAAACTTTGTGTTGCTGACGCCAGCGTAAAAATTTTCGCAAGCTGTCAATTTACCCGAATAGGTCAATGTAAAATAGGGTGTAGAAGGGTACAAGAGAGGATCTTTGGAATTTCTTACCTTATAGTACATGTATGTACTAGTTTATAGTACAATGATGATAGCCAAAAATTATCGAGCGTACATTTTATTTACATTTCTGAATCTAAATTTAGATTAAAAAATATTGTTGCCAAAAACATATCTTGTTAGATACATTAAAGATGACCAAGTGGTCCTAGTCTAAATAAATTGAGAAACCAAATAAATCGAGAAAAATTAATTTTTCAATAAACTGCAATTAATCTTTTGGATAACTGAATGAAAGATAATTTTACTAATTGTCTTTTATATCCGGTAAAAATTTCAAGATTGAAGGTAATATAAAATTTATATACCTAAGAGACTTAATTAATATGCATCACTAGAATGTAGGTTTTGCATTTACATGATTACACTAAAAGAATTTATAGTTACGAAAAGACAGAGTGAATTTTTAACTACTTTAATTAAATATCGTCTATGTGATCTCTTATTTTGAAATATATAATTCGAACAATCGTATCTCTTTAGTAATAACATCCTTTTCTAAAAGAGGGAAAGAGAAAATGTACGAGGAGATACGCACTTAAATCATTGAATAAAAATTTAATTAATTATTTAAATCAATGCAGCCCGAGAATATAGCTCTCGCGTTACTAACTGATACGGTAATCTCCACAGCAGATTAAGATATAAATTAAAATTACATCCTTTCATGAAGCTCTCTTTACCGAAGCGCGTTCTGAATACGATAATACAATGCTTCTGTATTTCAATTCGTTTGATGAATGGGTTCCAAGACAGATGGATAAATAACGTTCGTTCAATCGTTTTACAAATACAAAACGTCTAACCGCAAGAGGAATGAGATTTCTACGAATTTTTGTCCTTATTGAGATGAGCGGTTTCTCTCGGAAATATTTTGCCGCGTGAAAGCAAGAGAGAAAATTTTACTGCTACAGTCAGCTGTTTCACTTTTCAAATATTTTTTTCTACGTTTCAAGTTACCGTACCTTTTAAAAGAACATCTCGGTATACAATGCTCAAATAATAATTTCAAATTGTTTCAAATAAGATAGATCGACAAAAAATCTTGGTAATGCAAGCGGGATTAAAGGCAGATCAGTCTGAATTAGCATTTAGTTTTGGTATTTTAGTTGATTTATTTACTTACTAGATTAGAGAGGGACGAACGGTGACTCTAAACTATATAATGTATCGCTTAAACACAAAACAATCCGCCATATAGCATCCAACTGTCATTTACTAAACTCGGATAAAGCGAAGTGATGGATCTACTTTGCATGATATATTGATTCCTTATGGCAGTTCCTTTCGAGTAATTCACTCGCGCTGTTCTCTTATTGTTAGTCAGTTCAAATCCTGTTTGCATTATTAGCGTACATTAATTTGCAGAACTGATAAATTTTAACTTGTATACGTTCCGTAAAATTTGTAGTAGCAACATATAACTGATTTGATACGTAATGTGTTAACCCTTTGAAGCATGGTGTAACATGTATGTATATTACACCTGAGAAAATTAAAAACAAACACTTAATTCACTCCGATTTCTTTAAAACATTATTTCAAGAAGTTTTTAATTCACAAGATTTTTAATTTAAAGTTAAAATTTCAAAATTCACAACGTTCGATACAGCGGCACAAAGGTAAACAAATTTTTGTTTGTATAAAACATGTACTATAGTAAAACATTTTGCCTACACATTACATAAATATTAGTACTCGGAGATTTGTAAGGTCGCTGATTATGAATCTGGAATCAAAATTTACAAATGGAGTTTCATATAAATCATAAAAATTGAATGAAAGGAAAAGTGTATGCTTGAAAGGGTTAAACATGTATGTGGGTAATAAAGACAAATCGTGTTCTATAGTATGCATAATTATGTTATAAATAAGTACAGAAAGCTATTTTGTATGGTATGGTAATCTCTAGCTCATGACAATGTTGCACATCTGTCTGACAAGTAAGCCTTGTCCAAATTTCACCCGGCAGCTTGCGCTCTGGCGCTCGAACGCGTATACGCGCCGTAAAAACCAGATTTGCCCTAATACCACGCGCCGTTGTACAACACCCCCGTCAAGCTTCCGGCAGCGATCTACGACAAAAGCAACGTGGGGTTATGAACCGTTAAAATCACGCGCCGTAACCGACGCGTCGAAGATCGCAATAAAAAAAAATCCGAGAGAACAGAAAGAAACCACTCCTTCGATAGAACAAAAAGACATCTCCCGTACGTAAAAAAAAAAGCGGAAACGGGGGTGATCGCGGTCGGGACCGGACGCGATCCGGGCTCCGCAAAAATTTGAGCGCGCGGTCGGCGGGGCGAATCGTAATTTTACGAGCGAATCCGCCATCCGCGAACGAATGGGGGCGCGGACCCCCAGGACGCATCGATGTCGCGCGTACTCCCGCGCGGTGGGCGCCGGTGTGCGCGCGGGATGTTGCACGACGGGCGGCGGTGGAGCATGATCGGGGCCGTCGGCGAGATAACCATCTATCTGGTCCGCGCGAATGGTCATCGCGCACAGTCGCCCACGTTGGTACCGCGCGCGTGCTCCCGCGCGCCCATTGCAGCTCGCAGCCTCTCCGGGGACGTTCTCGTCGCAATGTGGTCATTGTTTCAGTGCCGCCGGACATCCTGGACTATCCCACCAGCACGGACATGGTGGTGCGGGAGGGTAGCAACGTGACGCTACGGTGCGCGGCGACAGGAACACCGCAGCCGACGGTCACATGGCGTCGTGAGGCGGGCGGCACGATCAGCTTGTCGAATTGGCAGGGTACGTATCTTGCTATTGCTACTATTACTGCTACCATTGATGACTACTAGTTGCTATTATCGCGCCACGCGCCGCTTCGTTGGGCGACGATTGTCGCGTGTTCCGTCGCGCAACGAATACCGGTCGCCACTCGAGATAGAGTCGCGTTTCTCTCACGCGCCTCCTTTCAACCCCCTCGCCCCATTTCGTTGTCTCGCGTTGTTTCGCGTATATTGAACGTAACCCGGCTGCTCGTACGAACGTAGCTCCGCCACGAGGCTTTTTCCTCGCTCTCGCTCTAAACTAGAGTGACAGAAAGCTCGCCGTCTCGTTTCACGCTGATTGAGCGAGACGTTTATTGTGCGCTCGGGTCGTATCATTGAATGAGTTTTGATGGACGGCGCTGAACCGATACGGATGCGCCTTTTGTTGGATACATTGTAAATTGAACACGTTTGATAATCGGATGAATCGGTCGCAAATGAAGTAGACAAAGCAAATTTTCTTCGCGAAACTTGTAACACATGGTAGAAAAGAAATCAATGACTAATTACATACATAAATCGTATGCAAAGTTATCTTACGCAATAATGTACAAGATATTTTATTCTCTAACAAACGTCATACTGTATTATTAATCTCTTTTCTTGTTTAATATAGATTTTTATGTTTTATTATAAAACTTTTGATTCTCAATTGATTTTATTCCCTTATCGCGTTGACGATATAATACTTTCAACAGTAATTTTTTTTCCTCCTTGCTATCTTACCGCTTGCTACAGTCTCTCGCAATTGACGAGAGAATTTAACGATTCGTTACACAAAATGGTTTCTTTCCTGATGTTATTATCAGTAAAGTGCCGTCGGCGTAATGTCCATCGAAATAAAATTGCTGCACATTTATAATATAAACTCATTTACTTAACCCATTCGGTGAGAAATTAATTTTGTTTACAATTCCGAACAAATTTCTGTCGTTATGCCGTCTTGAATAAAGTCTAGCAAGAACTAGTAATCAACATGTAATTTAATTTCTTAATTGTTGTAGAAGGAATGTTATACGAACGTTGGCGAGAATATTTTAACGAGAACTTTCCATTAATACACGATGATTCCTCGACGAAGATACAGCTTGATTACTAACATTTAACGAAACTGTAACCAAGATTGTAATTTTTATGAACAGTATTCTGTTTCTACATGCAATTACAAGAATAGTCGAGTGCATTTATGTACATTTGTATATTTTTCCAAGTTATGTATATGCTTAGCGGTTTTTACAATCGGTACGCATAATACATATATTTGGAATAAATTATTAAATTTTATATTAGATCAAAGTGAAAGACAGTGTCCTGCCATTTAAACGAAATGTTTTTGTTCTTTGAAATCATATTTCGCAACATTCGCCATTCTCGCAATCCAATCACTCACGTGCCGTTAGCTGTCGGCTTCGTTCAATAGCATTCCCGGTTCACGCGCCGCTCGCATCAGGATTGTTTAGATCTTTTGCTGACTAATTGCGCAAGCAAGCGTCGGGGACATTCCCGATTGTACATTAGACAGATAGCTAAAGTGCCGCTTTAGTCTCTTCCTCTTACCCAGCTTCAGGTTCTTCTCCCCCTCCTACCTTTTCTCTTTCCCTTTCACCCTATTTCTGCTCGTCTAGTCCGTACTGAGTTCGGTGCTTCAGAGAGACCGACGTGCAACATACTCGTAATGTATTTTCGTCCTTTCGCGCGAAACTGTGCCGAGGGTCAGAAATGTGAAGAAATGAGAGGACGTCTCGCTGCGATAAAATATCGATTGCGATCGACTTCCGATGATTTATTCACCGGACGAAACTTTCATCTTTCGGCGTCGATTTTAGGGAATCACTTTAAGTATTTTGTCGCATCTCGCTGTTCCCTTATTCGTCCCTTCGTTTTGCGCCGTTCTTGCGGAAAGATTCAGTCGCGATTCCATTAGTCGATAAGTACCGGAAAATAAAGTATTCAACGCGCTATCCCTCTTACGATTTTCGCAATCGAGATCCGCGCACTCCGCTTGATTTCCGATAATAGCCGGGGAAAGTATTCCGCGTCCTTTTATTTCTATATGATAATTCATACTAAGAGATTTTGCTTTTTGAAGACGGTAAAATTTCCAAGTACGAATTTATTTCAAAAACAAGCGCATGAATGAAAGCACTTTTCAAGTTATCATCGAAATGTGCAGACGTTGTCGGATACAAATTTCACGATACATGTTTAAGTGAAATTAATCACTAAATGAAATTAATGCTAAAAATATATCGAACACAGATAGAATAACTTATGCTATTAAACAAACGTGGCGATTGATAATAAATTATTATAGTTTTTATAAAATGATATATTTTGAAATTTTGGCGATGACATTTTATCAAATTAAAGAACGGCAAATGTATATTTTACACGCTCATAAATATTTTATAGACATTGTATAATAATATTATTTCTTTGGAATCGTCTTTTAGTTCTTCAAAAAGAGATCTCGAGTAACGCATCTGATATTAAAACTTCTTTGTTAAGAAAATTATATATTTACTTTCTTAAATTGAAGACAATGCTATTAGAGTGTAATGTTTTATTGCATCCCATATTATACAGGGTGGGCCATTTTAATTTATACAGTCGATTTTTT